ACAAAACTATTACCAGCAGCACAACTATTTGTGACCCTGGACCACAAAACCAGTCATAAGGGTCAAATTTTTTTTAAATTGAGATTTATACATCATCTGAAAGCTGAATAAATAAGCTTTCCATTGATGTATGGTTTGTTAGGATCGGACAATATTTGGCCGAGATACAACTATTTGAAAATCTGGAATCTGAGGGTACAAAAAAATCAAAATATTGAGAAAATCACCTTTAAAGATGTCCAAATTAAGTTCTTAGCAATGCATATTACTAATCAAAAATTAAGTTTTGATATATTTATGGTAAGAAATTTACAAAATATCTTCATGGAACATGATCTTTATTTAATATCCTAATGATTTTTGGCAATACATTGATGTGTAAAGACACAAAACGATCGGTCTGTGCAAGAAACTGAACAGTATTTATATAATTTTTTACCTCTGATTCACCGCAATGTCCGAACTGTTTGAACTGTCCTGAGCAGCGGCGCGTCCTCCTGAGCGCTTCTCAACAGCAGGCGCTTGAGGCGTCTTCTTCTTCTTCTTGCTTTACAAAACGATCGGTCTGTGCAAGAAACTTGCATTACCGCCACCTATCTCTCAAATGGACCATTGACACTCTATCTACAATCTCAATTAGGAGTGTCAATTGTCCACTTGAGAGATAGATCTCAAGACTTATAGAGCTCAAGACTTATAAGTCTGCGATCCGCCGTAAAGCAAGAAAAAGAAGACGACGCCTCACGAGCCTGCTGTTGAGAAAGCACTCAGGAGGACGTGCGGCCACTCAGGACAGTTCAAACATTGCGTGAATCGGAGGTAAAAAACTATATAAATACTGTTCAGTTTCTTGCACAGACCGATCGTTTTGTGTCTTTACACATCAATGTATCGTCACGAGCCGCAGGGTTTAATTTGGTTTTGTTTGTGTATGTTTTTTTTTACTCTCAAAGCCGTGATTCCCATTCACCTCCATTATAAGACTGACAGACTGCAACGGTTTGTGTTAAAAATCTTCGTTTGTGTTCTACTGAAGAAACAAAGTCACCTACATCTTGGATGCCCTGGGGGTAAGCAGATAAACATCAAATTTTTAATTTTTGGGTGAACTATCCCTTTAAGACTGGTTTTGTGGTCCAGGGTCACATTTTAATATTTAGAAATGTTCCTTGAGCAGCAAATCAGTATATTAGAATGATTTCTAAAGTATCACGTGACACTGAAGACTGGAGTAATGATGCTGAAAATTCAGCTTTGCCATCACAGGAATAAATTATATTTTAAAGTAGTTATTTTAAAGTGAAATACTATTTCACAATATTACTGATTTGCTGCATTTTGAATCAAATAAATGCAGCCTGCGTGAAATTAGATTTCTTTCAAAAATCTTGTCCTCAACTTTTGAAAGGTAGTATACTGTATATATGTGCGTGTATGTATATATATATATATATACTGTATGTATTTGTACAATTATGCCCTTGTTTGTATTGTACTTAAATAAGGTGGACATAAATATTTGAAACATGCTTGAGGGTATATAATTATCTCGTTACAGGCCTTAACACCCCCTTTTCCAGCTCACCCACAGCTTTCCATGTAAGAGACATTAATTAGTGTGTTTGGAAGTAAACAGAGAGAGAGGTAAACAATACACCGTATCTAATAACGGAGTGGCCGTGAGTTAAAGAGCAACATGTTCAGATTGGACACAGCAGAAGCAGCCGCAGGAGACAGCTAATGGCTTTTAAATGACTGACAGATGACAGTGTGTGCGCTTTCCTAATTGAATAGAGAAGGCCATCGGATCCAAAAATAAACTCCATGAATTTATCACTCCTTAGTGTGTTCTTCATTAAAAAGATGTAAAGGACAAAGGAGTGAGAAGAATGGGATTTGTGAAGCAACCAAAAATAAATAATGACCATTGAAATATTGGTTATTAGATCTGTGTTCCCCCTATACGAGTCTCCACCAAAAATATAGTATGCCATGAATGGTGGGTAAATTTTTCTCTTCACTTGCTGTTAAGTAATATAAATGTACTTTCACTTCCCATATGCCAGTTCTGACTGAACACATTCAAGGCTTCAATGAGCAATCTCACTACTTTTAGTTGCAAAAATTAAAATTCTGTGACCATTTATTCACCTTCATATTTTTTCAAACCTGCATTACTTTATTTAGTCTGATGAACGGGCTCCAAACTAAATTTCATTATCTTTAATTAAGGTCTTTTCATTATTTATAATTTAAGATCCATTATTATTATTATTATTATTATTATTATTATATTATTAATATCTTCTTTTGTGTTCTGCAGAAGAAAGTTGTTGAACATTTATCAAAACTATTAATCATTTTTGCATAAAACTTTTTACAGTGGGAAAAAAAAGGAGTGCCTCCTTAGTACTTTCCTAAGAAGAACAGCAGTAGAGGATCTAGAAGAAGTGTACAAGATGAAATGCAATAGCTGCGCTAGGAAGACATAAACACATTAACAAACGTGAAACGCAGAACACCTTGACCTCACAAACAGCAAAATAATTGAGAGTTCTCTGAATTCTCCAGCTGAGAAATGGTTTTCATTTACAGCTGAGGTTATAAAAAGTGAGTAATATAGGTATGAGTGCTGAATGTGGCTAATAAATGGATGGGGACGGGATGTGCCAAATCAACCCAGTCTGGCTGAGCACAGAAATAGTACGAAGAAAAAGTCATTTACAACAAGGTCAGCGAACATTATATAAGATTCATAAATATGTAAAATACAATAAAAGCCTTTTCATTTGAGATTCATTTATATGTTAAACAGAGGTTTAGGCATGGTAACAGAAACATTTTCTTGTAAAAATTTAGCATACAAACTACAAACTTCTGCTCTTTAATTTTTTTACATGCACCAAGGCGCAGAGTATAATTTCCTAATGAATGTTTTTCTCCAGTGGAAAAAGGGGACTTGGGAAGAAATTGGAATGCATTTGACAAAAAATGAAAAATAATAATAATCTATGTACATCTATGCCGTTTCTTCTACAGGGGCAAAAAAAAAAAGAATATTTATAAGATTAAATGAATAATACATAATGGATCTTAAATTATAAATAAATAATAATAAAAAAGACTTTAATTAAAGATTTTCTTTACTATTATGACATTTTCCCCTCATTTATTTAGTTAATTATCAGCATAACAATTTGTGACCCTGGACCACCAAACCAGTCATTAGAGTCACTTTTTTGAAATTGAGATTTATACATCATCTGAAAGCTGAATAAGCTTCCCATTGATGTTTGGTTTGTTAGGATAGGACAATATTTGGCTGATACAATTATTTGAAAATCTGGAATCTGAGGGTGCACAAAAATAAAAATATTGAGAAAATTGCCTTTAAAGTTATCCAAATGAAGTTCTTAGCAATGTATATTACTAATAATCAATTATTTGATATATTTACAGTAGGAAATTTACAAAATATCTTCATGGAACATGATCTTTACTTAATATCCTAAAGATTTTTGGCATAAAAGAAAAATCGATAATTTTGACCCACACAGTGTATTGTTGGCTATTGCTATAAATATACCCCAGCGACTTAAGACTGGTTTTGTGCTCCAGGGTCACATTTAGGTGAAAAGTTGAATTAACATGGCTTACAGCATGAACGACATGAACTCAAGTTTGTGTAAAACCTGATGATCATGTTCTCCAGCAGGATTTGAGAATGATCCAAAGACCACCTTGTGTTTCAATGGAAGCAAGAACATCTGACCTTTTGGTAACCGGTAAATGTCACAAATTTCTTACATTTGACCAGTTACCTAGAAATGGGGCAAAAGCTCAAACATTTGCCATTCATTTTCTATCCTAACATTCTTTTTCCTTTTTTAAAATGGCAAAACATATTTTAAGAATTAAATTAGATTACAAAACCCATAACTTCCAGTTCAGAAACACCCCTAAATAACACTTAGACACACCCCCTGCACTGAGTCGCGGATACCCATGCTTGACTCCACAGTTCTGCACCTGTAATGTGATGTGACAGCAGCACTGCCAGTTTTCTGTCTGGCTGCGCATCAATGCACCACAGATTTTATCTCCCGCATCATCTCAACCGCAGCTGCACCAAAGCACATCCCCGGAGACTCCGTTCCCAATTCATTTACATGATCACACATAAGAGGTCAATTCCAACAATTTTTGGCAACAGTCACTGCAAAACCAACCTGTTTTCCTTTCTAGGCAAAATAAACGGAGTGGCACAATTTGCTAAGACCATTCTGTGAATACATTTATGTGAAATAACAGCAGGATTCTTGTTTATGAAACTCATCTATTAATTCATATTCATCTTTCATTGAGGTTGTTGCACACACCGATTCATGAATACACAGATTGAAGTTTTCACACTAAGTTTTTTATTACTGTAAAATGTCTAACAAGCTGAAAAAAAAAACACATTCTTTTTCCACTTATGGATAAACAAACAGAAGTGAGTAATGTCCACTGAGGCAGAGATCAAAAGAAGAAAGTGCTCATTTCTGCTGTGAAAGGAAAGCAATCATACTCATACAACAAACATATCTCATCAAAACTCCATTTAATACCACGTCAAGGCAGTCAGCGGAAAACAAAATCACTTGTCTTTCCTTTCAAACTGCAAGTCCTGCTAAATACTGTTGAGAAAAAGAGCCATGGAAAAATACATGAAAGCAAGAAGATGCAGAAATGTCTCGGCAGCTTCGAGCAAAACAACATTTGTCACTTGCTGTCATTCAAAAGTCAGAAATGTCAGAAAAGCTCCAGAACCCAGAGGTCACTGCAGCAACACTGTTACTCATTTGGATGTCTCTGAATGTGGCAAGACCGCAAACAAACTGGTAAGGTAGCGCTGTGGGCATGTTTGCCAATGTACGATACTCTTGTTTACAACTGTGATACTTTGGTATCATTGGCACCAGAGTAGTTTCATATGCGAATATGGCAGAGGGATGAGAAAAAAGAAGAACGGTCAACGATATAACACTACATTTCTCAGCTCTGGCACGTCGCACAACACCTTGGTGATAGCGATCAAAACTATTCTTAAAAAAAATAAAAAACGGACAAAAGCGAGAAAGAATGTGATGCAGACAGACATGATGAACTCAGAAGTACATGTCCTGGAAGAGGTTCTGGCCCATCTCAATGTACGCCTCTTTCTCCTGAGCGCTCATCTGTTCCACCAGCTCAGGTCTCTGGCTTACTTCCCTGTAAGAGAAAGGTCTTCCCCCTACCATAACCACATGGTCGTCCCCGACCTCCTCGAACTCATCATCTTCGTCCTCCTCATCCTCTTGTTTTCTTGGCCGCAGGGCTGTAGCGTTGTGCATAGTGTGGGCTGGAGCCTGAGGCGGCGAGTCTTCGTCCGATTCACTGGTATCGCTGTCGCTGTCGCTGGCGTTAGCCGCTGGAACGGTCGGTCTGGAGACGACAGCACCTCCTGGACCAACTCCGCTCCTCTTCTCGTGAATGAGGAGAGCCAGCATCACCTCCTCGTTCTCATCCTGTGCGGCTCCTCGTCCAGACATTCCCTCCTGGGTTACTATAGAGTCCTCGCCAGCTGGTGTGTAAAAATTGGAAGAAAAGAAGAAAAAAATAGGGTGAATTTAGATGCATATTTTCTTCACCATAAATGTACTATACTTTCTAAACTCAATTTCTTTCTGAAGCCATAAGACAGCTTTATAGGAACAGGGTGTCATTTAAGTTGTTTTTCATTGACAATCTTGCCTTCCAAGTACTCAAATTTCACCCACACTTTCAAACCCATCAAGTATGATACATGCAATAAATTAACTGTACATTTGGTTTCTTCTCCTCTTTCTTCAATGATGTTGAATATGCAAATAAGTGTTTTTTTTCCCCATATAATCACGATTTGAATAAAGCAAAGTTTTTCAGTGAATAATGGCTTTAAATTTATGTCTATTTATCATGCAAAGCTATTTTATGGCTTTTAAAGTCTTGAAACCTGGCAAATAGCACAAGAATAAGTCAAACAGACTACTTTTATTGTACTCTTTTGGCTTTGTAAGTAAAAATAAAATAAAATAAATAAATAAAAAGCATGACTAGCAGTAGCCGCTTACAAATTCTACTAAATATCTGTTTTTGTGTTCCATAAAAAATGTTTGGAATGGCAATAGAATAAAATATCCCTTTCAACCAATTTGTGCGCTTGGCCTTATAAATAGATAGACTGTGCATTCAGACCCATGAGGTGTATAAACAAGAGGCAAATCAAAAAATGCATGAAACAGTGTTAATATACAACCATGACCACAAAAACCACTTTGAAAATAGTCGATCTGACTCACATTGCTTCAGAGCATCTGTCTCGCTGTACGCTCCCTGCACTGTGCTTTCCGTCAGCCATACGGGCCTCTCTTTGGGGGCTTTTCCCTCGGTAGTCTGGCCAGGCTGAGGCTCCTGGTCTTCCATGCTGATGACCACATCCTGCGAGTAGAGGTCATACGATGAGCCCTTGTTTTTCCATACTTCCCGACCAGGTGCCCCTGCACCAGCTCCTCCTGCGATCTGGGCGGCCCGCTCCCGACTGTGGAAAATAGCAAAGTACTTAATAATCTGAATTAATTTATATTTTCAGTTTTAATTTTAGTTATTAGGTTTTTTAATTTTGTTGTGTGTCATTTTTTTTGTTTTTATTTAATAGCTTTAGTTGAAAACAACAGTCTCGTGCATAAAACTGGCCACTTTGACTGAACAGGAGGTGCTGACCTTTGTTTTAGGGCTGGGATTTCTGACGGTTCGGGCTCCAGGAGATCGTGTGACAAGTTGATGTCCTCCGTCTCTCGTAGCAATACATAGATAGGCTCGATCTGCTCGTTGAATCGCGCCACCAAAGTGCGGGCATCTTTCTTTGGCACGGCTGATTCGTCCTCCTCTACTTCTGTTTGACAGAAGGTACAGCGGAACGTTCCTGTGTTTGAAAAAAAAAAAAAAAAAAAAAAAGCACAAAATATCAAGGGTTGAAACAGTA